GCCTTAGGCACAAAGCCAGCTGGCTGACTTTGGGCCAGTCCCTTTCTATCAGCCCTAGGAAGGAGGCCAATGGCAAATCACTTCTGGAGCACCTTCCAAAGTAAACTGCAGGGACTTATCCAGGCAGTCTCTGAGAATTGGAAAAGACTGAATGGGGGAAAAAAAAGGGCAAGGGCTATATCTTAATTTCAGGCAGTAGGAACAATTTTTCATATAAATTAATAACATCACCTGCCACCTGCCTGGCTTGGGGTCTTGCTGGCTCCTCAGGAAGTCCTCGACCAGAGCCACCGCTTGGGAACACGTCTCTGGTCCTCCTGCCCGGATCCAGCTCTGGAGGTCCGATGGGAGGCTGGTCAGGAACTGCTCCAGGATCAGCAGCTCCAGGATCTGCTCCTTGGTGCGTCTCTCCGGCCTCAACCATTGGCGACAAAGCTCCTGGAGTTGGCTATGGATCCTCCGGGGATCTGCCACCTCCTGGCAGCAGAACTGCCGAAAATGCTGGCGTTGCATCTCCATCCTCAGGGCTTCCCCTCGCAAGATGGCCGCCTTGACTTTCCCATAATCCTCTTGGTCTCGGTCTTCCAGGGTTTGGAAGGCCTCTTCCGCTCCTCCGCTCAGAGCTGGCCGGAGACGGGCCGTCCATTCTCCTCCGGGCCACCGGCAGGCTGTGGCCACCTGCTCAAAGGAGGCCAGGAAGGCCTTGGGGTCTTCCCAGGGGGAGGCCTCTGACATCATCACGGGGTTTCCACCTCTTCCAGGATGGAGCGTCCTCAGGAACTCCTGCCACTGGGCCTCCCAGCGCTCTTCCGTCCCCCTCAGAGGCTCCATTTTGATTTTTTGTGACGCTCCACATGTTGGCAGTTCTGTCATATACAGAGGCTGAACCAGACTGGTTGGCTTTCTTGCTCCTTCTTCCGTTTCTGCTCCTGCAAAATATTGTACCTTCATCGCCGTTTCCCCTGATTCTTTGCTCCGATGCTCTATAGAGAGAGTTTCCAGGGTTGATCAGTTCCATCAGAGATGAAAACATCGCAACATTTCAGAGATTGCACAGAGTTGGGGGAAAAAAAAGACCCTGGTTATTAACTAAGAATCTTTCTCAACCTTTCTCTAACTAAAATGATTAGACTCTTAAAAAAAAACAGTTCTTCTCACCCAAAGATTCATCTCCTACCTAATTGCAGGATCATTAGATAACAATAGACGAGAATGTCCATCACTCACAGTCAAGCTGGAGAGTACTTGGTGCTAACAGGGGCTTAGCTGTTTGCTTGAAGACATCTCACCACCCAACTAGGTAACATCATCAGTGTGTGGGAAGGTAGGGCTTTCTCCCTATTTAAACGCAGTTAAGTTGCTCTGCAAGTTTTGATGGGATTTTTTTGCTTAGTAATTCCTTAATTAGGGTATAATTTTCTGCTTGATCGTTGTCTGGTGTGAAGCGGGTATTAACACCAGACAAACCATCAAGCAAAAAACAATATCCTGAATGACAGAGCCAAAATACTGTAAGGGTTGTTGAACTGCCCCCAACCAGAGTGGCTGAGCTCCAACTTTTTAAGGAGCACAACACTCCTTCTTGGTTAGTTTTATCTGCAAGTCAATAATAACTGAGCAATCATAGAATTCTAGGGCTAGAAGGGAACTCGAGAGGTCATTTAGTCCAACCCCCTGCCCAGGGCAGGATTCCTCCAACCACAGTTGCCAAATATTATGCTATAATATATAATGCTAACTAGAGCGTACAAAACTTTTGCCAGACCAATACTCGAATACAACTCATCAGTCTGGAATCCGCACTGCATAACAGGCATTAATACAATTGAGAGAGTCCAAAAGTATTTCACGAGAAGAGTACTACACTCCTCTGCTCACAACAGAATACCCTACACCACCAGGCTTGAGATTTTGGGCTTGGACAACCTAGAACTACACCGCCTACGGTTAGACTTCAATGTAGCACACAAAATTATCTGCTACCATGTCCTACCAGTCAATGACTACTTCAGCTTCAACCACAACAACCCAAGAGCACACAACAGATAACAAACTCAATGTAAACCGCTTCAAACTTGATTGCACAAAATATGACTTCAGCAACAGAGTGGCCAATGCCTGGAATGCACTACCTGACTCTGTTCTTACATCCTCTAACCCCCACTCCTTTAACCTCAAACTAACCACTATTGAACTCACCCCATTCCTAAGAGGTCTGCAAGGGGCGTACATAAGTGCACCGTCGTGCCTACCGTCCGTATCCTATTGTCCCCATTTATTGGTACCTATTTCCTGCAGCCTTACTCATGTTTATACTTATATCTATTATCTTGTAAGCGACTGACAAATCAAATAAATAAATAAAATAAATATTTGCTATGATTCAGAGAAACTGTTTGTTCCACTTCTGTACTTAAAAGCACTCACAATCAAACATCTACCTCCTTCTTTTAACTTTGGAAGAAGTGCCCCACAGGCTGGAAGTGCGAGTGAAGTACCCAACACAACGCAACCCAAAGCACTCCATGCCATGCCATGCAGATACAGTGACAGATTAACAGTTGATAGGGACCTTATAGGTCATCTAGTCCAACCCCCCCCCCCCCCCGCCCACCCAAACGGGAGACCCCCACATCATTTCTGACAGATGGGGAGTCCAATCTCTTCTTGAAAACCTCCAGTGATGAAGCTCCCACAACTTCTGAAGGCTGCTCCATGGGTTGATTGTTCTCCCTGTCAGGAAGTTGAATCTGTCCTTGATCAGTTTCCATCTATTATTATTGGTTTGGCTTTCAGGTGCTTTGGAAAACAGGTTGCTCACCCCCTCCCTCCTCAGATATTGCAAGACTGCTATCATGTCTCCCCCTAGTCCTTCTCTTCACTAGACTGGCCATGCCCAGTTCCTGTGACCGTTTTAGCCTTCAGTCCCCTAATCCGTTGCTCTTCTCTGCAAATCTTTCTAGAGTCTCCACAGCTTTTTCATAGTTTGGTGACCAAACCTGGATGCAAGTATACAACGCAATGCAATGCAATGCAATGCAATGCAAAAGCATTCGGTTCAAAGCAACTCAATTCAATTGCCATGCCATCCTATGCAACGCACGCCGACTAGATAAGATTAGAGCCGGAGGAAGGAGCGCGGGCAGCCGGGGCAAAAGGCCGGAGGATGCGACGCGCACGACCTTCTTGCAACAAGCCACCGCCTTCCCCCGAGCCGGATTGCAAGCCAGAGGACGCCGCCCTGCTCCAACCATCCCAAACCTTGGGGTTTACCTTGCGAGGAGAGCGTAGGATCCCCGCACCCACTTACCTGGGCCCGAGAGGTGCGGAGCTGCGCCCTTCCCTGCTTTGCGACTGCAGCAACAGAAGCCGGTCTCAAAAAAAGATCGCCCCCTCCCGGGACGGCGCCAACATTGCAACGTTTACAGTGCAATGTTTACAGTGCAACGCGGCGCCGAGTAAAAGGCGGGCTGGATCCCGGAGTCAGACTCGAGCTGGAAGGGACCTTCAAGCTCTTCTAATCCGCGTTCAGGATCCTTCCTCAAGTGTGTGTGTCGTGGGGGAAAGACCCCGCCAGGGAGCGGGGGGGTGGAGTCTCCTGCTGAGGTTTCTCCTGCCTTGCATGGCTGAGAATATGGCACGTTGGGTTAAAAAAAGAGGCAATTCCGGACGGCCACTAGGCGGCACTAGAGTGTGGGTCTTATTGTAATGCTGTGTTTCTCGACTCTTGGAAACTTTTTGCCGGGGTGGAGCAGCCAGAGGACGGTGATGCAATCACCCATATTGTATTTGCTTAAAAATGCTGCTGTAGGCCATGTAAATAAAGGCCATAGAGGCTGGGACTCTGCTTTGCAGCTCGCTAAGTTTTGATTAAATCTTATTTATTTCTTAACATTCAAATCAGGGATGGCATACTCTCTGGTGGGTGCCTATAGCACTCGGGTTATCAATCTTTAAGTCTGAAAGGCAGATAAATTCTAGGATGAAAAATGTTAAGAAGAACTCTGCTGTTTATTGAGCGTTTGTTTTTGTTTTTTTGAAGTTGAAAATAGCAATACTTGAGCTTGCATTCTAAATGAAGCCTCTTGTGATGATTGCACGTTTTATTTATACAATTATGACCTCATATGACCTCCCAAGGTATGCATAAACCCCTCAAGAAAAGCAATTCTGAACAAAGTGAGGCCTTTTCCCAGACGCTGCATTCCAAACTGTTTTGGTTTGAGCCTGTTGTGTTGTGGTATGGATGGTAGTCTTTAGATAGGAAAACAGATAACAGAGTTGGAAGGGACCTTGGAGGTCTTCTAGTCCAGCCCCCTGGACTAGAAACCTATATTTCAGACAAATGACCGACCAATCTCTTCTTTAAAAATCCCCCAGTGATGTAGCGCCCACAATTTCTGAAGGCAAAGCTGTTCCCCTGGTTAATTGTCCTGTTAGGAAGTTTCTCAATTCCAGGTTGCTTCTATCCTTGATTAGTTTCCATCGTTTCTTGTCCTGCCCTGAGGTACTTTTGACCCCCCCTTCTTTATGTCAGCCCCTCAAATACTGGGATACTGCTATGTCACCCCTAATTCTTCTTTGCCTCAGACTAGTCAAATCCAAATCCTGCAGCCATTCAATCATTGGTTTAGTCTCCAGGCCTTTGATGATCTTTCTCTGAACATCTGTTTTGAAGTATGGTAACCGAAATCGGTTGCGGTATTCCAGGTGTGTGGTCTTAGCTAGGGTTTTGGAAAGCGGCACTGATACTTCATGTGATCTTGATGTCAGCTATGGAATTCGCTTCCATATAGTTGGGAGAAAGTGGGAAGTGATGTTGAGTAGCTCTTAGTAGACAAAATATAATTATTCTGATAGTTCAAGGTTACAGAGTGTGGCGCAAAAAGAATTGGAACTTACTTCGCGATTGGTTCATGTGATGTAACGATGAATAAAAAGGGGATGGTTTGTAGGTTGGGACAGTGTGGGAAGTCCAGGAAAACTTCTTAGTTTTGGAATTCCACAGAATATGCCAGGTGCTATTCTAATAAAAGTACTTTGAGATTATGTTTTGTCTTGGAGTTACTGACAGGAATGGATTTTCCCTGGAACTTTTGACGCTTGATTCTACGCCTCTTGTTTATACAGCCGAGGATTGTGTTATTAATTTAGATAAGGAAATTCTACAATTTTTAATTTTTTTTTAATTTAAGAAATTTTTATATTGCCCATCTCATCTGCATACCTTTGGGCGGTTTACAAATAAAAATAATAATACAGTATCTGGAAACATTTAAAGGGACATTTGTTCCAACAAGTATAATGGAGGTCTGTGCCATATGTTGTCTCTCAGTGCCTCCAAAACTAGCTAAATAAATAAAACCCTGCCCAAATGAACAAGATATATCTGATTTCATTTTTTTCAAAATGCTTTTCTTTCTTTCATGACAGTTGTGCTCTTGCGATTTGGCATAATGACCATGGACAAAAAATGGGAAATAATAATACAGGTAGTCCTCCATTTATGACTACAATGGAGTCCAAAATTTAGGCTGCTGAGTAAAACATTTAAGTGTGTTTGCCCCAATTTTACGACTTTTCTTGCCACCGTTGTTAAATGAGTCGTTGCATTTGTAAAGTTAGCATCCCGGTTGTGAAGAGAATCTGGATCGCCCGTGGATTTTGCTTGCTGGAAGGTAGCAAAAACAGAACACAGGACCCTAGCACCCTGCAGCCGTCATAAATATGAAGCAGTGGCCAAGCATCTGAATTTTGATCAGGTGACCATGGGGAGGCTGCAACAGTTGCAAGTGCGAAAAACAGTCGTAACTCACTGTGATGACACGGAGCGTGGCACAAGGGCAACACAGTCAAATAAGCAAGAAGAGTTCCTTTATTATTTCCAACTTTGCTCCCCAATGTCCAGGTTACCTTCTGGCTGGAGAAAAACTCCCAGGAACAGCCTTTGGCTGCAGAGAATTAAGTCCAAAACAAGGTACATACAAACTGTAACTAAAAATCCAAACAAACCAAGCTGAAGTAATTAACTTGACAGACCGGGAGAAGGATTTTCAGACTTGAAAGCACGGCAAAACTCACAGTTGGGAAGACACCAGAAACAGATAAGCCACGACGATACCAGATAATTCACGATTTGCTCCCAACAATTTGCTGTGCACAGCTTCCTCTTTTATACAGTGTTCCTAGCTGCAGCTAATGAAGGGAATCAGGGCCCTTTCCTCCCCTGTAAGCCATGCAACCCACGTTGCTCTCTTCTCCATTCCTCCCTGCGTGCCCTAGGATGAAGAGAGGGTGGGCCTGGGTCTTCCTCCAAATTCCCTCTCCCTCTCCCTTGCTCTGCCCAGCCAGCCTTTGCCCTTCCCCAGTTTCTTCCACAGGCAATGGAGCTACATTCCCACTGTCAGCTGTTCGTCTTCCTCCTCAGATTCAGATTCCGACAGGGGCATAGGAGTCTTTTTTGTGTGTGTCATTGTAATTTTTGAATGGTCACTAAATAAACTGTTGAAAGTTGAGGACTACCTGTAAATTTATAAAATATGTAATTGTTACAAAAATATTTGAAATGTCCCTTTTTGAATTAAAGGCTTGCTGGTAGTACTCAAGTTACGACCGTAACAACCTGGCAAATATGGTCAGATGTTATAATGGTTGTAAAACAAAGCACATTACCCAAATCCATTTTTACAAGTTTTTTTTTGTGGTGTTCCTTATGCAAATCTTTGTTCCCTACGAGGCATTTTTTTTTTTTTGCTGGAAAAAAAGGAAGTAAACGCCATCTCGGTTGTTTAATTTTCTTCGGCTGGCTTTGTCTCTCACAACGCCTGATGCAAAGAACAGAGAGGTAGTCCTCAACTTGTATCTGTTTGTTTAGTAACTGTTCAAATATACTACAGCACTGGTAAAAGACTGATTTTCACACCTATGACCGCAGTCCTCGATTTACGACCCAAAAATTCTGAGCCCCCAAATTCTGTTGCTGTTTGTTACGTGAATTTTGCCCCATTTAACAAATACTCCTGCCACGGTTAGGGTAAGTTTTAGCAGAGGTGGTATTCAGCAGGTTCTGACCAGTTCTGGAGAACCGATAGTGGAAATTTTGAGTAGTTCAGAGAACTGGCAAGGACCGCCAGTTCTTGGCGCCACCCCCATCTATTCTCTGCCTCCCGAGTCCCAGCTGATCGGCTGGATCTTCTTTTGTTGCCCTGCACAGGAGAACGGAGCTGGAAAGCAGGTTAGTGGGGTGGAGAGGAAATGGGGAGTTTGCAGTATCCTTCCCCTGCCACGCCCACCAAGCCACACCACGCCCACCAAGTCACGCCCACAGAACCGGTAGTAAAAAATTTTTTTGAATCCCACCACTGGTGTTTAGCGGCCAAATTTACAACGGCGCACAAAAAAGTGACTTATGACCGTTTTTCCACACTTTACAACCGTTACAGCCATGGTCATATGGTCAAATGCTTGACAGCCAACTCGTATTTATGACGACTGCAGTGTTCTTCAGAGCTGAAGAAGCTTCTTGGATGAGAAGCGAAACGTCTTCAAGGAAAAACAAACAAGTCCAGTTGACTCTTGAAAAAAAAAAAACATCTTTGGAACAACCCTGGCCTGGATGACTGGGAATTTCCATAGACAATGTCTCACTCAGCAAGAGAAATTTTAGATTCGATTGTGGTCGTAAGTCCGAGGACTACTTGTAATAACTCTCATTAACCTCTCCTCAAAATTCTGACTTCCCCGGCGTCTTCCCCAAATGGGGGGCATTTGTGTGGTCCTTCACAAAGGGAACATCTTGTGCCATATTCAGGTTGTCTCTAGCATGAATTCTCTGGTGGGTTTTCAAATTTCCCATCTGACTGAAGCTTTTGCCACACTGGGTACATTTGTACGGCGTCTCCCCAGTGTGGATCCTCTGGTGTATCTTCAAAACGTTGGTATGGGTAAAGCATTTCCCGCACTGAGAACATTTGTACGGTCTCTCTCCGGTGTGAGTCCGTTGATGTCTCTTCAGAATCCCTGTTTCCCGGAAGCATTTGTCACAGTGGGAACATTTGTACGGTTTCTCTCCGGTGTGAATGCGCTGGTGTTTCCTCAATGTGCCCATCAGGTTGAAGCCTTTCCCGCACTGCGAACACTTGTACGGCGTCTCCCCCGTGTGGATTCGGAGATGCCTCTTCAAAATCCCCGTCTCTCGGAAGCATTTTCCGCACTGGGAACATTTGTAGGTCTCGCCGGTGTGAATCCTCTCGTGTATCTTCAAACAGTTGGTGTGACTGAAGCATTTCCCGCACTGCGAACATTTGTAGGGTCTCTCTCCGGTGTGAATCCTTTGATGGGTCTTCAGGTTGCCCGACTGGTTGAAGCATTTCCCGCAGTGGGAACATTTGTACGGCTTCTCCCCGGTGTGTATTTTCTGGTGCTGCTTCCAGTATTTGGCTTTATTGAAGCATTTCCCGCACTGGGAACATTCGTACCATCCTTCTTCAGTTTTGCCAGCGGGGATTTTGCTGAGAGAGTTGACGCCGCTGTTGGCGCGTTCAGAAGAGTTACCTGTTTCTCCAAGATGGCTGCTTGGGTGGGCGCTCGCGTTATTAACCCCTGCGTTCCCAGAGATTTCAAACCTTTTCTCAATGATGAGATTTCTCTCTTTTGGACTGGTGCTTGAAGTACGCTGGCAGCTGTCCTCAAACCACTGAGGGTATTGCTCTAATTTATCCGTAGAAGGCACCTCATTCAGCTCCACGTGGTAGAAGTATCTTCTATCGTACTGGGAGAACAAAGACATATTATTCTCCTTGGAAATAGCGGCCTTTTCAGCAGTAATAGCAGGAGTAAATTCCTGTTGTAACAAAATATGTTGGTTCTCACACCCCACGGTGGGCTTCCGCTGCTGCTCTCTCAACTTGTAGTCTTCTTCCACCATTTCTACTTTTACTGGGAGATTCCCAGAACTAAACTCTCGATCTCTCCCGCATGTTGACTCTGATTCCTCTCCTCGATTCTCAGAATTCTCCATTTTGAATTCTGTTTCCAGTCTGCTCTCTACATAGGTAGACAAAAAAAGGAGTTAACCACAGTCATGTTATTTTAGTTATAATGTATTGCTGTTTTTTTTTAAAACAACACGTTTTGTTGTCTCGGTGATCATACTAAGTTCTCCAACAGAAATGTAGATTTTTTACATTAGACATAGAACATAGAACTTGATTGTCACTTTGAATGTACTCTAATCAGCATACATTAAAATGAAATTTCATTGCATACAGCTCTCAAAGGCTCACAACCTCCAATGTACACTACATAAACATAACAAAATAAATACATACAAAATTATGCCTACATCTACATGTATTATATGACACATAAACAGAATATTACATGGTATGGGATTTATCTTATCAGTGGTTGGAAAATAAAACAAATGAAAATGGATTAGATGAATATACAGAGAAATAAGATTGTTAAATAACAGATATATTAAATAATGGCTATAAGGAAATGTGATTATTGTTATATTGGTAAGAAAAGTATTAATTATAGTTGAAAGCGTAAGATATATGTACTCAGTCGACACACGGTTGAAAGATGAAATTATTGTAAATATAAAATAAAAATATTTAATTATACATATGTATATTATATGACACAAACACCACAGCCTAGTTCAGACATGGTGTACATGGTGTGAAAAACGATCTTGCGATAACAGACGGTCTTCGACTTACAACCACAACTGAGCCTTACAATTACAGTTGTTAAGGTGTGCCGGTTGTTCAGCAAGCCTTTTATTTTTACTTTATTTTTATTTTATTTTTGCAGCAATTGTTAAGCAAGTGCTGCAGTCGTTAAAGTGAATTTATTGTCTACAATGGGCACTTTTTGCCAGAAACCAAAGCAAACACTGGTTTCTAGCAAAAAAAAAAAAATTTTTTTTTGCAAAAAATCATGGCCATATGACCACGGGATGCTGCAAACGGCCATAAATGTGGGCTGGTTGCCAAGCACTCAAAATGTGATCACATGACTGCAAGGGGAAGGGCCAGCCATTGGAACTTTCAATCGAGATCATAAGTAGCTCTAAGGTCAGTCGTAACTTCAAATAGTCACTGGTTGTAAGTCAAATACCTGTATAGAATTCCACACATACTCCAGGCTGTGCTGTAGATACATCACCTATTAAAAACATTACTTGCTAAGGTTAGAAACTTTTTGAGTATGTCTTCTGAATCTTCTTCTGAATCATGTGTAGTCTGGATTTTCCTTCTCACAATCATGTGTAGTCTGGATTTTCCTTCACTATACAGTCTCTGTGTTGTGGTTTGCCAGCAGTCAGTGCAGACAGCAGTGGAATCGTGCAGACGGCAGTGGAGAAGAACAGGGATCAGTCTGGGTATCTGGAGAGGACTCGGGCGAGGGTCCTGCATCCGATGCAGAGATTGGGCCAGGACCATCTGGCAGTAGGGGTGCTTCCTTCGGAGTCTGGCAGCAGCAAAGCAGAGGACCCAGGGGAGCTTGTTCCCAGTGCGCAGGTGCGCAGAGCTGCTAGAAGGCGAGAGCAACTGAAACAAAAGGGGTGACTCGGGAGTAAGGCTGGGAGGTGACTGCCCCTCCCATAAGGGATAAAAGTCAGACCTCAATGATGAAACCTTTGCAGGAAGCAAAGTAGTTCGATAGATTCCGAGTCCTCCTGGAAGCTCTGTGTACTCTGGTTGTTTTTTTCTGGTACTTCGGTTGGTTTCTGTTATAGTTAATTGGATACTTATGTTTTTGGCGGCATTCCACAGCAGTGAAAGGTGTGTGCTTATCTTGGGGAACTGTTTAAGATTAGTTCTGGCTAGGAATGAAACCAATTCCCAGTGTTGTAATAAAATCGGTTTTGCTTTTAAAACAAGTCTGTGATTAATTACATTTGACAAAGTCTTAGTCAGAACACTGGGTCTTCATTTTAGTGATGATCTTCAAAGAATGGAAGGCTGATTCAACCTTTAGCGGGTCAGAATCGAACTGCTGGCAGTTGGCAGAGTTAGCCTGCAATACTGCACCACCACAGTTCCAATCACAGGGTTCGTTGAATGACTGTCACAAATGCCATAAAATCTGGCTTATCTTGTGTTGCCTTTGGTTATCTGTGTTCCTGGCATCCTCCCAACCGTGTTGAATTACTGCCGTCCCTTCACGCCTGGAATTCCTTTTCTTGCTTTGCCGGACTAATTACCTCATCTTGCCTTGATTAGAATTATAGTTACAGTTTTTGTTGACCATGTTTTGGACTTGATTCTCTGCAGCCAAAGTCTGTTCCTGCGACAATTCTTCTCCAACCTAGAAGGTAACCAGGACATTGGGGGCAAAGTTGGAGCTAATAAAGGGACTCCTACTGATTATCTGACTGTGTTGCAATTGTGCCACGCCCCGGGTTATCGCAGCTGCCTTCCTAGCACTTCCACTTCCAGAATACGTAAGAACTTGTTTACTCCTGGTTTCTTTTGAGATAAAGGAAAACTGGATCCTTTCCTACGATGGCTGGATTGACGCATTGTTTCTCCTTACCTAAACGACCTACGTTCTCCTCTTCCTCCTGCAGGACTTGCCAGGCGACCAGTGGTTGAAGTGGCTGTGTCGTCTTCCCCTCGGTGGCCTGCAAAGACGCCTCTGTCTCCTTCAGACCCATGAATGCCTATAAAGAATAAGAGGCAGCCAAGACCTTCCCATCAGAGATTCTGCTGCAGAAAAACAGGATTAAGGTAAAGCTTCACATTCACTGTAAGATCTGGAAAAATTAACATTACAAAAATCAGACCACTGAACAAGGTTTATAGTCAGGGGTGGGCTTCAAAAATTTTAGCAATGGGTTCTCTGCCCGGTTGCTTGGTGGGCGTGGCCTAGCTGGCTTCCTGCACCATGGCCGGGAGTGTGGGTCATTTTTGCCCTCCCCTGGCTCCAGAGGCTTTCCTTGAGCCTCCAGGAGGGCGAATACTGCCTCCCCAGGCTCCGGAGGCTCTTTGGAAGCCAGAAACGGGGCCATTTGTGGCCTTCCCGGACTTCCGGGAGGCCTGTTTTTCACCCCCCCAAGCCTCCAGTGCACGCCCTGCACTTACCAGCAGCCAAAACAGATTCACCTGGGGAAAAACTGCTGGTGTCCTTCTACCGCTGCACCATAGAGTATTTTAACTTATTGCACCTCTCTATGGTTTGCCATTACATAGTGGCAGATAGGACAGCACTCCACAGGGTTAACGTCATCGCCCAGTGGATCATGGGTTGCCCTCTCCCCTCTTTGGAAGAGCTTTATAGCTCCTGTGGCTTTAAGAAAGTTAAACATATTCTTAAAGATCCATCTCATCCTCGGCACACCCTCTTTTTAAACTATTGCCATCTGGAGGATGGTACAGAATAATAAAAACAAGGACAAATAGGCTGAAAAACAGCTTCTATCCCAGGGCAGTAACTCTACTGAATTCTACTGTATAGTGCAATATTAAAGCAATATCAGGGGTTTTCAATTCAATGTATAGAATGTGAAGGATGTGTGTTTGTGTTCATTTTCATGGTCATAAGACTGAAGATGGTGCTTATTTCATTGTACGAGGTGCAAGGCCAATAAAGTAAACTAACTACAATTATTGTTAAATCTAACGCAATGTTTTTCGACTCTGGCGACTTTACATTGTATGGACTTCAACTCCCAGAATTCCTCATCGAGCACCCTGGGAATTCTGGGAGTTGGAAGCCCACACACCTTAAAGTTGGCAAGGTTGAAAAACCCAAATCTAAAGGGAACAGGACAAGCGGTCCAGGAATAAGTCCTTTATCTTACCCCTCCCCAATCTGGTATCAAGCAAACTGCTTTCACATGGTTGACATACATACCTCTCTCACTGTTGTTTGGGCCATCCCAAATCTTTCGGAAGGAAATAATGGGCTGGGGTGGCTCGAGGATTTGATTTCAGGTCCTGAAGGTGAAAATCAAGGCATTTTACAATAAGAACATATTTACCCCTTCCCTCTTCGGTTTTTAGAAATATAACAGCAAAAAAGATTTGTCATTTTTAAAGTACTGAGTAAGACAGAATCCTTGCTGTTCTATTTTTATAGCGGTGGGAAGACCCCCTAATCTTGAAACCTGTGTATAACAAACGTTTACATTTTGGGTGCCTGGTTGCTTTTAGATCCAAGGGCCGCCAATCAGGAAAGGATGGGGAACTCTGATCTAGAATAGAAATACATTAAAAATCCTCCAGAAAACAGTCCCCAAGGCAAGATTTAGCCTTAAGATTTTGGCTCCCTGGCCTCTCAGCAAATATAAATATAGCGGCTGCGTTTTCTCTCTCTGGAGTTTTCTTACCCAGCATGCTGATCTCCACTTCTTCATTTTCTCTCTTCACAGCCTCCAAGGTCTCTTTCTCTGAATATAAGAAATCGACATGTTCTTCATTCATTGAGCCCTGAAAGAGTAACACACTCCTTCTCACAACAATGGGACTCCTTTTGCTCACCACCACACAAAAGTTTCTCGGGGTCGCCCGAGGCCCACAAGGATGGTTGAAAGGTCATCCAAGCTACGGTATTAACCTAGTTCTCAGTTTTGGATTAATACGGGTGGCCCTCCATCTATAGCAATAGAACTTACAGTAGGCTTATATATCGCTTTACAGCCTTCTCTAAGTGGTTTACAGCAGGGGTTGCCAACCTTTTAGACCTCAGGGACCACCAAACCCATAATTTTAAATCCCAGGGACCATTAACCGGCTCTGTGGGTGTGGCCTAATTTGTGGGTGTGGCTTAATGGTCATGTGACTGGCTGGGCATGGCTTGTATATAAATATTATATATATTCATATAAATATTGATTTTTTTATAAAAAAGAGCAACTTTTACCAAAAATCAGGCAAAGCAGGCGGGCAGATTGAGCTGCTCACAGAATCACAGATTCACTCAGAGATCTATCTATCCGCCATTGGCTAGCTCAGTCTGTCACATAAAATTTGCTTGCCCTGAGCCTGCACTAAATAATAGAACCTTCAGTCCTAAAGGAGGTTTGGCTCTGCTTAAAAGCAGAGCTGAAGATCTAAAGACTAGCTAGAAAGCTAGAAATCCAACCATTTCCTGCTTCCTAGCTAATCTAAAACTCCCAGCACAGCAGAACAGCTGAAGGTCAGGGGAAAAAAAAAGGAAAAATAACAATTTAGCAGGCAAGTTTGTCTGTAAGGAGTGAGTGGGCGGGGGAGGGTTCCTGTGGGCCATGTGGGTGGCGCAGCCTTGTGTTTCTATCCAGCCTGCATTAATTGCTTTGGGGGATGCTCTGGGGGTGAGATTTCTCTGCGGGCCAGCAAATTTTTCTCACAGCCCACCAGTGGGCCATGGCTCACTGATGGGCGACCGCTGGTTTACAGTGTCACCCCCAACAATTTGGCAGTTCAAATCCCACCAGGCACAAGGTTGACTCAGCCTTCCATCCTTTCAAGGTGGGTAAAATGAGGACCCAGATTGTCTTTGGGACCCTGCAAGGCATCCTGCTCCAAGAGGCTGCACCAACGAAGACTTATTTCTGGCGGAGTTTGGAGGAGAGAAAGAAAGACTTCTGCTGCTTTCCTTGCATGAAGCCAAAAGTCTCTCTCTCCCTCTCCCCCCTGAGAACAGAGCTGGAGACGGTATCCTGCGATCCCAAATAAAGAATGATCGATCAGTAGGAAAATGGGGTGGGGAATTTTCCTGCAGACTTTTTGGGGGATTTTCCCAGAGTCTCTGGTATGCGGGATTTAAAATTATGAGTTTAGTGGTCCCTGAGGTCCAAAAGGTTGGTGACCCCTGGGGTAGAGGACTGCCTGTGTATTGTCAAACTTACCTGGTACGACCCTGATTTGGCGTCTTGTTGGTTCCTCAGGAAGTCCTCCACCAGGACCACCGCCTGGGAAGACGTCTCGGGTCTTCTCACTTGAACCCAGCTCTGGAGCTTCGGAGGCAAGCTGGCCAGGAATTGCTCCAGGATTAAGAGCTCCAGGATCTGCTCTTTGGAGCGCCTCTGCGGTTTCAGCCACTGGCAGCAAAGCTCCTGAAGTTGGCTCTGAACCCTTCGTGGGTCTTCTACCTCCTGGCAGCAGAACCGCCTGAAGCGTTGACGCTGGGCCTCCATTTTGGTGGCTTCCCCTTTCAAGATGGCGGCCTTCACCTTCCCATAGTTCTTCCGTTCTCCCATTTCCAGCTTCTGAAAGGCCTCTTCGGCTTCTCCGCTTAAGGCTGGCAGGAGACAAGCCACCCACTTTTCTCTGGGCCACCGGCAGGCTTGGGCCACCTGCTCAAAGGAGGCCAGGAAGACCTTGGGGTCTTCCCAGGGAGAAGCTTCCGACATCTTGGACTTGTCACCTCCTGGGTGAACCGGCTGCAGTGTCTTGAGGAACTGCTGCCATTGTGTCTCCCAGCGCTCCTCCATCCCAACAAACGGGGCCCTCTCGTTCCTCTCAAATGCGCCCCATCCTCCTTCTTCAGACGTAAACTGAGGCTGGATTGCAGAGGGGGTTTTTCCAGCTGCTTCTAGTCTTCCTTCTGGATTTAAGACTTGTTTCTCCATGGCCGAGTTATCTGCTCTCAGCCCTCTCAAATCTAAAGGCAGAACATGCTCAAAGTGGATCATTTGGTTATTATCATTTTAACTTTTAACACTATGCCGCATTTTAGGGACCCCTCTAACCTTACAAAAAAGTATTTTTGAAAAAAAAACAGGCTGTATTTCCTGTACAGGTAGATTAGCACTGTTCAAAGTTACAATCAAGAGTCAAAATTCTGACAATCGCCCCCTCAGCATTCATATAAACAAACTTCGCAACACGGCTCCATGTATCCATATTTGCAGTGTCCTGTAGTCGTGAGATTGGGTTTTATGACAGTTTTGCTCAAAACTTCACATCTACCAAACCACTGAGTCATTTAATGACCATGGTGTTTGCTTAATTACCACAGCGGTCACAACTCCCAGGCTCGCTTAATAACCACTGCAAAAAAGATCATAAAATCAGGTTGTTATGTGACCGACCCATTTTATGACTGCCACAATTTAGGACTGTGATGAACAGGTTCCATTACGGTTGCACGTCTTAATCTATCTTTACAAAGCCCTTTTCCCATCTTTACAAAGCAACTCCTTCCACTCTCCTCAATTAAAAAAACATCAAACCAGATTTCACCAAGAAGCTGTAATCAAACCTGTAAAATCAGCTGTGGATAGAACATCCATTGAAATAATCTAAAGAATTTTGGGGGCAGAAAGGGGATAGAAAACACTGTAAGATATATATTTAGTCAGAAATGAGCTTCTGGCTCCCGTTAACCTGGTTTTATTCACCTCTGGATTTTATTCCTTCTCTCTAACAGCGTCATCTCACCTGGGGTTCTGGAAAGCTTTTTTAAAAAGCCAGGGTATGGTCCAAAGACTGGGGTTTATTTATTGCAGGATCCAATCTGGGTCGGTCACCGAGACCAAAGGTTACCATATGAAGATAAAATCATGCATTGGAAAGATTGCTTGGAGGTGGGAGATCTAATGTAATCCCTGCATGGGTTGCCCCTGTAGAGTTGATGTATTTCAGGTGGGAAGGGAGATAACCACTAGAGAATAGAATAGAATAGAATAGAATAGAATAGAATAGAATAGAATAGAATAGAATAGAATAGAATAGAATAGAATA